GCATCGCTAGTAGTAACAGGTGCCTTACTAGTAGTAACAAGAAGCTAGTAGTAACAAGTGCCACGCTAGTAGTAACAGGTGCCTTACTAGTAGTAGCAAGAAGCTAGTAGTAACAGGTGCCTTACTAGTAGTAACAGTGCACTTCCCAATTTGACCCAATTTGATGTGGTGACTCGGCATTTTCCGCCGCACAGGTCGACGTCGCACAGGTCGTCAGGTCGTTGTGTTGTTTAAGTTTTTGCTTCCCTTAGGGTAGTCTTGTCTTTTTTGGCTCACAGATACGTTGTTGGTGATGGACATGGGGGGAAGATCACGAAGTGAGGTGTTGCAACCTACTAGATAAAAACAAATGGCTTAGAGTAATTGGCCACTTGTCCCGCGTTGTTTTCAACGTTATTTTGGAGCATCCCGAAAATAGCGGCCGGTCCAATCTACGCAGGAGTGGGCACGCAACGAATACCTCACCAGGACTTTTGTCGATCGACCAAAGGGTGGAACGAGCCGCATGAACAGCTCTTGGGTTTGTCCCATTATAATCCATTACAGCACTGTATCTAACTACCAGGACCCTCCAACAGGTCACCACCTGCGACTTTTAAGTCTACCAAAGCCTCCAGAGGAGACCTGTTGGAGGGTGCTGGTATATAACAGTATAATCCAAGTTATGCATGATATACGTGAACAGTCGGGACACTAAAGAGCACCTAACCTGACAGAAAGGCCTGGAACCTAAGCCTAACCATCACCCACTGGGCCCAAAGGGTAGGATCCCTCCCTGCACCATACACGTGGAGAGTTCCCTCCCTGCACGTGCTGAAAACAGACCACGACTGCATGACGAGTGGGGTGGTCGACAGATGGTCGACAGACGACCGAGCGAATTCGGGTGAGATGCAAATCTTCTTAGATATATATATATATGTATATATCTATCATCTATCTCACGCGGCAGGCTCCACTGCAGGCTGCAGGCTGCATCATAATGAAATAGCATCAAGTCCACTGCGTCTTCGAGTCTTTTCGGAACATGACAGCCCGGCGCTCAACCGGCGACTGGAGACTCCCAGCCCGTGGACGAAGCGCCAGGAGCGGGTTGACCCGATTGGGGGATCAACAGCAGACGCGAGAGGCGAGGAACCTTCGAGAAATGACCCCCCACGTGATCCACGAGTCCAAGCAAACTAGCAGTTAGAGAAAGGCCTGGAACCTAACCATCATTCAATATATGATGTATTATTGATATATTTATGTTCGTGTATACTTTCAGCCCCCCGGAAATTCCCTTGCTTGGAAAAGAAGATTGATTTGGGTAGAGTTCAATCCTTTTTGATGTTCTTCAACGCTTGATTCACTGTCCAAAATCACCACCAAACCCGTGTGATTATCCCAACCTCCGCAGCCACCCCGAACCAAGTCACTGCGCCGAACTAGAGAAAGGCCATGGTCCTGGCCAAGAAGGAGCAGGCCTACGCCAAATGGGTGGGCCCAGCAGCTCAGACACGACTCCAAGACCGTCTCTCAGAAGGAATCCATCCGTTTGAGTCCAAGTCCAACGGTCGCCCTTTTTGGGGGGATCCATACCTGGGCCCCCTGGTCCAAAGGGGTGTCTTAAACAAAAAAAGCTCCTTATCAGATGCATGAGAACTTCCATGGGTGGGTCTATCAGTAGACTACCCATGGACTCGGATGAGAGGTGGATGTTTTTTGACAGAGGTTGGGACCAGATGGGCGATGAAGATGATCCCGAGAGCGACGATGAGGCCTGGGGGTCGAAGCGTGGGGGCGTGGGTGAGGTGGTGTTTCGCGTGACCTATGCTGGTGCTGCTTGGATGCCCTTTGGGGGGTTGAGGTTGAGATTGTATTTGGGATTTGTTTTCCAGCACGAAAGTTGAGCTCAAAGGTAAATATTTGGTAGCACTGACCCCCCTCGAACCGTTCTTCCTGCCTAGTACGTTCGGGAGGTTCATTGACATCTAAAAGATCTAGTACTACATGTTTTTTTAATACATTGAGCCTTTGAGTATGGTGATAGGTTGTATAGTGCCTGTGAAAGACACGTGCTACAGTCTCTCCAGTGACTTCAACCAGTCTTGGAGAAACCCCTCAGCCCTTTCACTCCACTATGTCACAATGTAGGCCCTTCCCACGCAACGGAACCCAGCTCCGCTGCTGGACCACCAAGGCCTTAGGCGAGTCCAAAGGCTGGCGCTCCACCAGCGATTGGGCCACTCGACGGAGGTCAACCGGGACGACTCGACTCAACAGACCGAAAGATGAAGGGCCGAAGTCGGGTCTCCCTCCACTTCGAGGATCTTTTTCGAGGACCACCAGCACGCGAGGACCTGGTGGATTTGTTTTTTTGACGGGAGATGAGAGGTGGACGATGTGGAAATGGTGCCAGGTTAGCCCTTCGGCTTTTTGGAAGGAATCTCCCAAAAGCTCGGGTGGGCATTGGAGCTTTTGTGGTTGGGGTATGGCGGAAATGAGTCTAAACGGATGGTCAGAATAGGATGTGAAAGTGCAAATTCCAGGAAGCTGCGTGGATGCAGGAGAAGCTCTGAGATTACAAGTCAGAAAATGTCAGAAACGCCTGGATCCGTGACATCCGTAAAGGCTTCGTAGTATCTCTCGCGAGAGCTTGAAACATGTCTTCCAAAAAGTCTATGTCACGACTGACCAGTTCTTCAACAAGCATCAAGTCTTTGCCATAGCATCGATACGTATACAGCTTGTTCGAACACCTCATGTGTGACCGGGCATGCTCCTGCTCTCGCTTTGACCCACGGTGCTGACCCAGAACGAACCCCACGGTCCAAACCGGAGGTGTCGTCCGGAGCCAAGCGACGACACGACCCCGCCATCGACACGGAACGGCAAGGTCCGACGACAGAGTGTGGAAGTGGAAATGATGCCGGGTCTCCCCAGCGTGGACCAGGAGCTGAAGAGAGCTTTGGATCTTGCTTGAGTCAAGATATATACATCTGATCTTCACGGCTCCAGCTCATTCAAGTGAACTCGTACAAAAGATCTTCCAAACAACATATATTATATGGATCTACATGCCCCCTGCCACAGCTGGCCGCCTTACATTCTTTGGCACTGTTACAATGCAGCTCGGTCGTTCGTTGACGCAGACATAACCCAAAAGCGGAAGCAAGCAGGTCTGATTAAGCCTTTTCAACGCAAGTTTGCTAGAAGTTCTTTTGTTTCTAGATTGCAAGTTTGATCAAGTTTGTCTCAGAGAGTTCTGTTATGTTCTGCTTGTCTCAGAGACATATCCTTTGCAAACAGAAGTGGGCCTGGCACGTGACCTCTGCGCAGCTGACGGGTCCTTAAAGCTCGAGTCGAAGTAATCGAGCACGAGGTCCGCCTTCCCCATGATGGACAAGTGCGGCTTCCCAGAGATCTGACTTATTGGTGAGACTGCTGGAGAGGTTGGTTGTTGTTCTTTCGTGTTTTTTCCCTGAATTGGAGACTTCATGGGTGTGTGTCAAATTGATAGTCGAAGAAGGTCACCTTTTGTCTCAGCCAGAGTCCACAGCAGACTGGCCAGATGCGCCAGTAGTCCACATCGCCTGTCAACGTCGCCGCATTTCATCGATCGAGGCGAGATCCAATGCCGAAGCGAGTGGATGTCGACATGGTGGTGGACAGCAGGAGCCATGGGATCTGTTGAGACCTGTTGGAAGAGGCCTAGAGGGTCAGACCTGATCCAAAACCAGAACCCAAACCAGACAACACTCTTGGTGTGAAATTCAGCCACTAAAAACTCAATCATTATGAATGAAAGACAAAAGGCCTCCCATGCCGGTGCTTCACACAAACAAAGGAAGTTGTAAGACCAGAAAGCTTTGACGAAGTGCTTCTACACACCGCAAGTCACTTTCTGGTTTCCCACGGCATGTTCCAGGAAAAGGCCTTCCAAACCGGGAAAAAAGGCCGGCATGGAAAGGCCGGCGAGACGCCATGATGCCATGGCTCCATCCGCATCGCGTCAGGAAGAAGCACAAGATCATCAACTGGATCGATCCAATGGACAAAGTGGTCTTCTGATCGAAAACTCGACACCGCGCAGAAGTCGAGACGACACTGCGCAGGGCAATCACGTGGGCGAAAAAGGCACAGCGAACCAGGTTCATGCTGGAGAAAGATGAGAAGTGACCAATTCTGGACAAGTGCATCTGCATTGGAATCTTGTGGAATGTTCTTGAGTTTGTGATCTCCATTCTCCGGAATTTCTTTATCTCCTCTTTGCCCAAACCTCTCTCCTCTTCGCTGCAGCGAAGCCAACACCAGGATCGTGCCGCCGAAGGCTTATGGACGACCACCGCAGGGGAACCCAGATGCAGAAACGTGCTGCTTGCGGCTTACACAGCTGGTTGACTGCGGTCTGAAGAGCTGTGAACTAAGGGTTGGAAGTATCAGTATACCTGCAAAGTTACGCTGTTTCACCAAAAAACAAGTATACACGCCGGTTTAAGAAAGTCGATGTTTCAACTTCGCACACGGAATTGACCAACGCAGGGCACATTTTAAGGGAATAGAATGCAAGTCTCAAGTTCTCATGAGGCTGCATGTAGATCCTTGGCTTCTTGGGAGGGTAGTCAGCTTCCGAAGGAAAGACCGACAACCTTCATTGACAAACCAAAGGCACCCAATACAGCTAGCAGTGTGCTGACAAGTTTACTTAATTCCACGGGCGTTTACTTTGTTTCAACGGCTCTTTGCGCCGTTTTGCGTGCTTATCAAGGATGAGTCACTTGTAACCGAACCAGCTGAAGTAGTCGATATCGGTTTGAAACGTGCGGATCCTGACCATAGCAAAACTTTTGAAGCTATACCCAAACAAACCATTCAGCACTCGCAAAAGAACATCCTATAAAACTTGGATGATAACTGATGATAAGTGATGATGATGATAAGTGATTAAACAGCTCCAGGTTTACATTTCATCCGGCAGGTAGGCAGGGACCCTCATGCGACTCCTCCATTGTTTGCGGTACTCGTTTTGTTGCGATGGCCGGATAGATCCGGTACTCGTGTTCGATTCAGAAGGTTTGCCAAAGTATTCGGGTTGGTCGCAGAACCTCTCATGAGTCTTTCCACTCAAAGACTAAGCCGCTAGTCGTCTTCTTCTTCTCGCGTTTCTCCGTGGAGTTCCGGTCAGATCAGAAAAGCGCCGGTCGATTCGGCGAGTCCCATTTGTTTGATGTTGTTCCAACCAACGGATGGAACGATAGATGTTGCCATATGTTGCCGTCGAAGTTGACCGGGTCAACCATCAACCATCGCGGGGGGTCGCTATTGAGGACGGGTGTTCGGAATCGATGCTGTCAGTGTGACACGATCCTGCGGTGGTTTGGGTCTACAGCTGAAACTGAGTAGAAGTTTCTGAAAATTATATATCAAGGAAACCCAAACCGCATGTATCCATGTTTCTTTGGCTGGGACACTCTCGGTCGAAACATGTTCACTCTGGATCTGCCTGTCCGGAGCTGAGCGCTTTCCGGCGCAGTTGTGTTCTCGTTTCCAGGTCAGCCTCCTCACAGATGTCCTTGTGGGGAGACGATGATTATACGTACCGACAACGGAAATTGTGGAACGGAAAGGGTGAACGGCACCGAATCACTCCGTTCACCAACAAGAAGGCGACGGAAGGGGCGGGGCGGCAGACGATGTGGTTCTGGAGTGTAGATGGATCGCAGAACGGAGGGCAGTTGCGCTGTGTTGAGCCATATTGTTTCTCACCTGGCCAGAGAGTGTGGAAAGGAAAGCAGGACATGTCTTAACATGCCTTAACATCATCTCGAACAAGAGATGTTGCCAACAAGTGTCCAGCACTTGAGGAAATAAATCCACAAGATGTTTGCTTTGTTCCTCCATATGTTCTTTGTTTTGCCATAGTCTTTGAGTGCAAAACACCCCGCTGTTGACCCATACCAAGACCGACACGGACCCCTCACCGGTTCTTTCAAAACTGCTTCTTTCGCGTCGGCATGCGTCGACATGCGTCGACTGTGTCCAGTTCAGTGTTTAGGTGTTGTTGCGCAACCCCTTCATGACGTCGGACCTAAGAGCCTTGTCCCACCAAAACCACTGGCGCGATTGGTGGACGCATGTTCTTTCTTCATCTGCTCACAATCCTCGCATCCTTGGCCGGCAGGATTTCCATTCGGATGCGTTGAACAGCACCATCTACAACTTGAAGGTCCCCACTGGGGTCGGCCATGTTCCGCCACGGGGAACCCGCCGTTGGAAGTGTTTTGGGGGGGGTCACTCCAAGCATGAAGAAAGGTCGAAGCTGAAAATGAGGTGGCAACATGGTGACATGTGGACACTGAGTACGAGAGTGAAATAGATTCATGATATATGGCTCTCCATCGGATGTGACAAACCGCATGGGGGGGATTTTGGAGGGTGTCAGGGGCGGTCTTCGCTTGCACTGCAGATGTTTGAATGGTTTGCCACAAGAGTCAGCTGACATGGGACGCCTCGGGTGACAACGTCGCGACCGGACGATGTTGCAACTGTCAATCAGCATCTCACAGCCCGGAACCACGTCCGCAAACGAAGAAAAACGTCTCACATCTTCTACAAAGGGCACCTCCATTGGGAATCATTTGGATAAGCTAAATTTGTATTTCTGGCACACTGGGCACACAGATTGGAACAATCCTTCGCCACACACACACATTCTGGACGAAGAAAAACACTATATCAATGATCTCCCAAAATCGACCGATGTCTTTTTTTGTCCTACCGGTTTTGCGTGCACCGATTCCGCGACGTTGGCGCGAGCAACAGAGCTGCGCCGACTCGTCGAGGTGACGGCCTCGGCGATGTACAACATGGACGACGCCGGCGGCTTCGACAACTACATCTTACGGACGCCGCCGCAGGACGGACGCCGTGCCGGAAAGCATCAGATGTCCAGCATGTTCATGCATATTTGCCTTGCACAGACCTGAGTGACTTCGCGCCGTGAAGGGCTTGGTCGGTGGGCTTTGTACCACATAGCGAAAATTGACGAGCACAGCAGAGCTGCGAGTTGGTGCACATGGATTAGGAGCGATAGAAGGAGACAGGGCAACTGAGATGGATCAACATGGATCAAGAGCAGTTTGATTCGGAGGTTAGAGCAACTGAGGATCCTATTGATGTTTGAAATGGATCAAAACGGTGCAGATCCTCCCAATCTGTTCGCAGGAGCTGCGCAGCGCCACGGGCGAGAAGATGAGAGAAGTGATGTATTTCTACATGAAGAATCCGGAGGCTGGTTGCATCTGGGAGAAGAGATGGAAAAGCCCTCGGCTATCTCGAGATTAGGGAGGTGTGACATGGCTAGCCAGGCATATGACATGACCAACCGCCACCTGTGTCACAGATGTGCATGGTTCTTACACGGCATTTGGAGATGCAGTGGGTGGGTTTGAAGTCAACTCGCCGGATGTTCCAGAATTCGGCGGTGAATTTGGCAAGATGCTCTCAAACAGTGCAGCTATGTGCATGTGCAAATCTTCTATAATTTGTATAATTTCTGTGTATAATTTCTGCCTCTAAGTGCTCCATCTCAAGAAGCTTGCTCACCTGCCAAAGTCCTGCAGCATGATGATGTTTAGACCAGGCAGAAGAGTCCTTTGAGTGAGTCACGCAGGATGTGCTTTCGCTCGCGCAATGCATCCACACGAGATTAACTGTCATGAATCCCATGAAAGGCCCCATTCGTCGTCGTTTCAACGAGTGATTTCATGGGATTCTTGAAACAAATGCGTGAATCCCATAGCAGTTAACCATTTTTTCAATGGGATTTTTCTTCACCCAACCTTTTTGCTGTCGAAATGGGTTTGACGGTTTGGTTGTTTCCTTCATACGCCACATCGCCTCCACGGGATGGGCGGCGCAGCTGACGACTGCGCGGTTGACTGAAGAGGCGGAGTGTTCGAGTTGTCAGAGTGGTGCACACGTTGAGTCAAGTGCCACCAGAGGCCCTATGAATGGGACCTTTTTGGGACCCAGACACACAACAGACTGGAAGATCTGCCTAATATTACATGGGCCCCGCAAACAGCACCGTCAATGGAATTCGGCGACGCCCGTCCCAGTCCCATGGAGCCAGTGAAACGGGTCATCGAGATCTTCATAGACGGCGGTAAACTTCTCGAGCCGTGCGTTTCGTTCGGGCGACAGCAGGTTGCCCTTGTGATGAGTTGATATGTTGCATGTCGATTTGAGAAGATCTTTGTTGCCACACCGAGCTCGGGAGCCTGGCACTTGGCTGTTTGGGCTCAGGGGAAGAGGAGTTTCGGAATGATTGGAGCCAACCCCAGTCCTTGATCAAGCTATATCAAACACCCTGAAATACCCCCAAGTGGCCCACCAAAGGTCACCTGGAACTGCAGACAGGCCCTAAATCGCTGAGGAAAATACAAAAACCATCAGAACTCGGCCAAACTGTTTGACTGTACAGACTGAAAACAGACATGTCTCAGCTTCAACCAAACTGGGCCGCTTCGAACCTGTCAGCTTCCTCCGTGTCGCCCTCCGCGTCCTCGCTCTCCGCTCGGGTGGTCTCCGATCGGATCGGATGGCTGATGAGTGGCGCGATGGGCTACGGCTACGAAGGGCCACCGGCGACTTGGGTCGTCGTTTGGAAGTGGCGAATCCTTTGGTGCTCTCAGGCTTCGAGTGTCGATCCTGTTCTTGGGTTCTTATGGGGTGAAGAGTGCTGAAGAGGTGAAGAGAACAAACTTGATATAGCTGCATTTGGGGGTTCGTGGAGTCACGAGAGATGTTTGCCGTCGAAAAGCGGGGCTGAGCTATACAGCAATTGTAGACTTCAAGTCTCAGGAAATTCATGGAAGTTCGGTGACCCAAAAAAGAGCTTAGAACTGATGGTTGAAGAGTGAAATCAACTGATGGTTTTTTTGGCGCCCCAAAGATGAGTTAGTAATTTTGAGTTGTCCCATCCTTCTTGAGAAGACTCAGCAGAACCAATTTCCTGGGATGTCCCGGGTGCAGACGCAATCGGATGCATCAATTATGCAACGTGAATTGCATACACATCAAACCGAACGCCGAGCCTACTCAAATAACCTATAGTGAACTCGTGACCCCACACAGTCTTCAACCTTGTGTGCCTTGCGGACGTCGCGAAGTCGTGCCGGTTTGGCACTGGGATTCGCTGGTGAAGTCGTGAGGCGACAGAGCTGCTTGTGAGCCTAGGCACCTCCAGAACTACCTGGCATGGCAGAAGGCTTCAATGATGATGCTGAGGCGCAGATGGCAAAGAGATGTTTCGTTGGACATTGGGTCAAGAAATACTCGAGTTGGTCTCAACACAACTGTCCCCACAAGCAAGTGGACATGAGTGGACTATAGTGGACTCTTTTTTGTTGGAGTGTTCAATCCAGATCGAGTGGATGACATTTTTTCCTGGCCTTACTAGGGAAGGACGCCAGATCGAAGCAGTGATACTGTAGTCTTTTCGCAACTCCACCTGTAGCTCCACAGCCGTTCGACGCTCGGCCGATCGGCAGATCGGTCGTGCGACGGTGACGGGTTTAGGCGGTGAACATGTTCGGAAAAAAGAAGAGGCGACAGAGCCGAACATTGAAACAGGTCTTTCCACCTAATTAATCTCCAGAAAAAAGGAGTCGAACGCGTCGTTTTTTCATCCTGATTCTCTCCGACGCTTCGTTCTTCACATCCCCAAGGATCAACACTCCGTCTCGCGACCCGATCCACCCACGAGCGCGGGGCGCGGAGCGCGTCGCGCGGTTTCGCTCGGTCAGGGCGCCTTCTTTCAGCCGCTGTCGCCGCCGAATGAGCTGGAGCCGTGCCCAGGCCCTAAAGACTTGCAGGCCGAAGAGGGTAGTGGGCTGTCGGACGTGCGGAACGACGCCGTCGGCAGCCAGTCCGCTTCCTTCACCTCATGATGCTTCATGTACATCGTCTCCTTTTCGCCCACCCAACGGTGCCCTTTCTTCGGCTTGACCATTCCGACCCGCTCGGCAGAGAGCCGCCAGGTGGTGAGTTTGTCCTCCATGGAGGTTGACACGGAGCTGGAGTCCCCGGCCTCCAAATGTTCCCACGCCCTCCGGGCACGGTGGGGGCCCTCGGACTGGGTGGATGGTTCTGGACATCAAAGTCCAGGTTCAGATCTCGAGCCGGGAGCTATGCAAGGTCAAAGCGCTTCATTTTTTGGAGGCTCCTATGATGGTTAGGGTATGGTGGTTTGAAGCTCCGGTAAGTCATCAATAATTAATCATGTAACATGGACCATTCCTCTAGCTTCAAATTCTTGGGTCAAGAAGCGTTGATGCACAATGGCTTGTACATAGTCACAGACCACAAGATTGTAGACCCAGCATGCTTGTACATCGTCCGGCATGCGTCGCGAAGTCAGTCGGCTCGCTTCCAGCAGTGCTCGCTTAGTGTCCCTTCAAGTGGGTGTGGGGCAGTTGCTGCGAGGAACACAATCTTCCCCACCAAACCATGGGAGGTTGATTATCCTGGATCTGTTCAGAAATGGCCTCAACCATTGCATGGTGCCGCCATGACCCTTTGCATCAGAGGAACAATGATCGCAGACTCTTACGATGTTCAGAGCTGGGGAAAAAAAGACAAAACACAAAACATGACGGACATGTAACATGACGGACCACTTCAAGGGTTTCAAACACATGGAATTCAGTTGTTGTCCGCCGAAAAAGATAGAAGATTTCCAGCCCGATCCAAAAAGCAGCTCGATCCAAGCTGTTACCCTAAAAGTCCAGTTCGACGATTTCCGGCCACCCAAGTGTTCAGAAAGTTCCTGAACTCGGATCACCGTTCGTCAGACCATGTCAGACCTTTTTAAAAATGGTCGACTGAACTTTGACGGGTGGACTCCTCACCAATCTGTCTGTGGCTCCTGCCTCAGGTCCTCCATGCCCATCGTGGAGTTCTTCCGGCAAAACGCGCAGGACGGCATCGGGGATCGGAGCTGCCCCAATGCGTGATATGACAGGGATCCCCTGGTATGACCCCACCAACATGCAGGGGATCTGTTTGTAGTTTGTACCCACGTACCCTTGCCATCCCTTGCCATCCCCTTGCCATGACAATGCTGGCTTTTTCTGCCAGGAGCTACGTCTCAATGCGGAGACGGCGCAGCAGTGCGCCAGTCGCCTGGCACAGGAACTGCTCTTCTCCACTGAGGCGGTCTGGGTCACGGGACGTGTGACGGGACGTGTCACGGGCGTGACACGTCCAGTACGAGCGTATCCTTGTGACACTGTTGGACGGTTTTTTGATGTTTTTTGCCCTGCAGCCTGCAGGCCAAAAGCACCAAGCATGTGTGAAAGATGTGGTGTTCACATGTGTTCACCTTCTTCAACGATCTTCAACGGTATGTGTTTGTTTGTTGCCGGAGAGTGAGCTGTTGTTTCTTGCCTATTTTCCTCTTGTTTGATGTTGTCCATGATTTGTGTAGGTTTCTCCGCGGTTTCTCCATGGTAAACGTGTGGGTTTTGTTCCTTCAGGGGTTGCGCCCCCACGCGGGTTTGGCGGAGGGGTCTCGAAGTCGGCGTCGCCAGGATTTGTACCTGCTGTCAGACAAGGACAGGCGAAACCGAAGTGCGAAACGCGGAGAACGTTTTTAACGGGTTGGGGGGCTGCGATTCCGGACAATGATGATTGGCCACTTGGGTCCCAATTTTTGAAAAACCACTTTTGAAGGAAGGGGGTAGATGCTCTAAAATCATCCTGAATCTATTAAGAAAGCCATGGGACGGGATTCTCAGAAGCTAAGAATCCGGGTGTGCGACCATCCGAAAGCGCTCGCATCATGCTTCGGTCGCAGGAGAGTTTCATGCAGCTGCCGTTGCCCATGAAACCCAGCTGCACCGGAGGGAGGGACCGTGTTGGACTTTGGCCAGATCGACCGATGCTCCGAGATCGGACCGATGGTTCGGTTTCGGATGTGACTGGGCAAGGGAGCGTCACACAAAAGTTGTTTATAGAGTCTAGAGTCTAGAGTCTGAGGCAAATTATAAAGGTCAATGGCAACATAATGGCGAAATGACATGATGATTGTGTCACTGGTCTAGACTTCACTCACTTCGCTCCTGTTCATGAATCATATAGGTCGATCAATATACATATATTGGTCAAAGTTTTGCCAAGCTAGTCTGTCGACAGGCTCACAAAAAATAGAAAAGAAGAGATCGTCCGACGGAGCATCACTCTTTTGTTTGATGCTCCGTCCAAATACACCATCTTGTCTTGGACCA